CTCCTCCCCTTTAGAAACAAGTTTCCTTTCCCCTTTGTTTTGATTGCCTGGTGATAAGAAATGAGCAACTGAAGTGCTGTGGGAGGTCCAAAGATGTGGACGGAGTGAGGGGATGCGTGGTTTCCGTGGATGTGAATGGCACTTAAACATAGCACAATGCTGAGCATCTCATTGGGGATCCTGCAAAGAAATTGATGCTGCAGATCAAGTGCTCTGTTCCTCCCGCTTCAACTTCCAGAGCTTGTTGGAAAGAGGGTTTCTTCCTCCTTTACCTTACAAAGCTGTCTCTTCATCCCTTCCTACAGCAGATGTTTCCAAGACCTGGAAGAGTCCATCCCCTGTTTGCAGAGGTCCTTGGGCTTCCAGGGATTTTGGACACCTGGCTTTCATTGACAGCGTAACGAGAGCCATGTGAACAGGCTGAGGCTTCAGTTAAAACCTTTAACCTCCCTGGCTCTTGGCTAATAGGAATTTGTGTGGCTCCTGAAGTACTGGTGCCCTGTCACTGTGGGCCCCAAAAACTGAGGGGACGAGTTTGCAAATAGGACCCTAAGCACCAGGTCTGCTGTGGTTGTTGTTAGTGCGTCATGCGTGGGCTTGACAAAAGCTAAAGGGAAAAATAGAGGTTTAGAGTTGGATAAGATGTGCATTTAGCAGATGCTGTGTATGACTGATTTATAAGTTGTTGTTCAGCCCTGAAGGCTGTGACCTACAGGAAAACCATTTAAATTGAAAAGAATGAGCCGGGTAATGAACACAATAGGGTTGTGGAGTTGGAAAGCCCAAGTGTTGTGTCTTGGAGCCCGCTCCTAGTGAGAGGGAGGGAGGAGCTGCTGTCGCAGTCCTGTCTAGCAAAGGAGGTTTGCTTTGGACAGAGCAGCAGAGGGAGATCCTCCTGGACCACGGAGGAAAGAGCTTTCCCCATCGCTGGCTTCCAGGTGAGCTGCTGAGTTGGATGCCCAGTGGTGACATTCAGAGAGTTCCTGTGGCCTCTTGATCAGCGTCACTGCATAACAGTGGTGTTGGAGCAGGAAATACTCAGTCTCTGTTTTTCTGGGTTCGTTTCTCTTGTTTAACTCCGTTCTCAACTTCGTACCTGAGATCTGTACCCTCACCTTGCTGTTAGCAAGCTTCTTGGAACTTTTTTGGTGTTTAGTTGTAGTCAGGCTCCCTAGTTAGATTTTTCTTTCCAGAAACAGCAAATCTAAATGACACAGGCATAGACCAGCTCTTGAGGTGCCTGTAGGCTGGAGGAGGCTCAGGAGTTCTGGGCACTTGGGTGGCTTTCCCCAGAGCTGCTTGGAAAGCGGGTAACTCCAGATGTCAGGTCGTGGGGAGCGGTGCCATCAGCTGATGTCTGTTTTGGACTGTGCTGAGATACTCGTGGGATCGAAGACAAGTTGCTCATCACTGCCTTTTGCCTTCTGAAGGGCTGGTGACCAGATACCTGCCTACAAGGATCAGAGCTGTCTACTCAGACTACTCTGGCTGTTGTCTGACCACCTAGTTAATGGCTCCATCAGCCCTGAAGCCAAGAAGAATGGGTTTAGCCTGATCGTAGTGACTGTTGGCTTCTCTGAAAACCTAGTGCACCAAAGCCTGTTAGCTGCACTGGAAGAAAATGGGTGGCTTGGTTGTTATTTTGTATGTGGGTAATGAAGGTCATGTAAAATACTAAGTTTCTGCAGCAAGGGCTGTAATGAAGAAGGTGAACTTTCTGCAACTCGTCACTTAAGTCCTAGCTTTTTGAATCATTCACCTCAAGCTAAAGAATAATAATGCTTCTGACTGCGCTGCTCTGCTCAGGAGCCTGTAATTAGGCTGTTTCCCTGAGATGGTATAATTACTGTAGCTTGGCCTGTCAGACCTAAAGTGAACAGAGTGTAAAGTCCCACTAAAATTTTGGCTTTATGAGGAACATAGAGTCCAATGAACTTCTTTTATTTTTTCCCAGTCTAAGTCAGTTTGTGAAGGTCTTTGCTCTTGCAGTGAAATATGGTGAGTCTAGCCGTGGTTTGAAATCCTCCTGCGTTGTTTGTTCAGCCTTGGGCAGCCTTCCTGCCTTTCTTTGCTTGAGCTGCGCTGCTGAAGGGTTTGCTTATCCCGGCCATGCTGCAGCGGTGTTTGTGAGAGCTCATGTAACCTGGATCTCGCTCGTTAAAGACTGCTAGCGTGCTGAAACTCAGGCTCCAGGAGGACTAGAAAAACTGCTTTGATCTTTCGTGAATACAGATGCAGAGCCCTCCCGAATTTTCGTGCTTATAGTTCCCTGTCCAGTAGAGTTGAATTCTGCTGTTCTGCTTGGCACATTGCATAGATCTGTCTGTCGCAAACATGTCAGTGGCACGGGATCTGTGTGTCACGGCACTCTGCCAAGCATGAAACCAGGATGTAAGTTGTGTTTTTAATTTGATTTTTTCTTATACCCATGAAAGGAGAGATGTAGATACCACAGATGTTGTTGGTGATAAACCTCTGTAGCCATCTCTGGTTATTGAGCTGAAAGGCTCTAAAATATAACTTACTGGTTTCTAATTTAACAGCTTTACTGTCTTGTGCTGTTAAACACTGAAATGAGAATGATGGCCTTATTTTCTACTTACGGTTCTCTTTATGGTTCACATGGATGGACCCCTGTTTCTTCTCTCTCCTCCCATTTTATTTCAAGTCTGTTGTAAAGATCAAAAGCTTTTAGCATCCTTATAGTTTCTGCTTTTCAGTTTTTAAGGTGAAACTGATTCTTAGATGTAATGCCATACCCCTAATGGAGCTCCTTTTGAGGTACTGTCTTTTTTAAGACTGAGAGTAACATGAGCTTGAAAGTCAGGCATTTGTCAAAAAAAAAAAAAAAGTTGATGAAGAACACATGAGGTTGAGGAAGGTTTCAGAGCAGGGCCCAAAGGCCAAGAGAAGGCATTCAGGGACTTGAGCACATCCCTGTCACCCAGGGAGCTGGCTGACCTTTTCAGTTGGGAACAGTGTTTCTCTTCCTGCCCTTCCTGTGCCCGTCACAGGATGATCCTCCTGAACGTGCCCAGTGTGTGGTGCTGTGTGTGCCCCATTCAGACAACTTTCTCCAGACTTGTTCCAGCTCCTGCCCGCCAAGCCTAGCGAGCAGGCTGGAGGCGGTTCTGTTCAACAGAGGGATTTGTGGGAGTGTGCCCTAACTGCTGCTCTGTCCTAGTTCGGGTTTGGAGCAGGCAGAGGTGCTGCTGTCCTCCAGGAGCCGCACAAACTGGTGTGATTGTGCCATGTCGTTGACTCTGGAGTCTAATGAGAACCAAAGTGTCAGTTTTAATCCCTTGTAGCGCAGCTGAAACTGTAGGTTCTTTATACTGGCACTGAAGCACCGGTGCTCTTTTCTTTCCCCTGATATTAGACCTTCAGCAAAGCTTTGCAGTGTCTTGGTTTGAGAGCTTTTATGTTCTTCAGGTTCTCTGGGAGCTGAGCTTGATCTGTCAGGCCCATTACTTCTGAAAGAGCTGTAGGAATGGTGCAGGCTGAGCAACAGGCATGGATGAGGATGAACAAATTTCACAGTTCATTTCCGATAAGCATTCAAGTTAGACTCTTCTCTGCAGCTGCTTAGACTTTCTCTGTCAGCCTTGTCTGGTAGCAAATAAAAACTTCCTCCTGGGTGTGCTTTAGGCTTTTCTGGTTGCTGGCACCCAGAAATTTCAGCTTAAAGTTTGGCTGAAGGGTCCAGGTTGCTCTCGTTGAGCACAGGACGTGTGGGGCCAAGTCTTGTGCACAGACCCCCTACACCAGCTGTGAGGGAGCACACGGGGGACCTCAGTGCTACCAAGAGCTGAGGGTGATGGAAGGTCCATGGTGTATGACTTGCTGGATCTTATTTGGCAAGCAAGCTTATTTCCTCAGTCTCTTGTGTGGTTTCTTTTAGGGCTTTACTTAACCTCCCCCTTTGTCCTCCAGAGCGTTTTAATGCAGCCCATCTGTCCTTTTCTTTCATTCCCCTGGGGCCTAGGCTGAAAGCCCAAAGTTTGCGGTAGGAGAGTTGGACACTGGGGTCAGCAAGAGTGGGGTTTGCTGGGGTTGTCTTTGTTCCCCTTCAGCCCCAGTCACATTTGGCCAGTCCCGGGTACACTGGAGAGAGCGAGCAGGATGGTGCATTTCCAGCATCACCTGCACTTTTCCTTCTCCCGGCGCAGCGAAGTGTTGCTGGAGGTCTGGCTTTGGCTTGGCGGGCTGATGCTGGAATAAGGGCGTTCTTTGATTGCAGGTTTTATGGAGTTCAGTGCACAGCGTGTCAGCCCTGGGAAGGCTGTGCATGCAGGGATTTGGAGATGCTTCCTGTTTAGAGAGAGACTGTTTAGATTGAACATACCCCAGGTGTCTGCTTGCTGCTGGGTTCTGCTCCAGCAAAGGGAAAATTGAGTCATTTGCAGAGGCAGCTGCATGGTCCCATGGGAGCTATTAGTGCCCTTGGTGGGTCTCAATGCTTGGATTAACTGCTTGCGTCCAGACACGTGGAGTTCTCATAGCACCAGGTACTAAAACGTCAGTACCTTACCTGTTTTTCTTTTATTTTTATTTTTTTAATTATTTTTGGATGAAAGGATGACTTTGGCATCTGTCTTCAAAGCAGCATTTCATTGGTCTCCTTTTGATCCTTAAGCATGTACCACCACTCCTGTCTTTTTGAGCTCATCGCGTTAGTGCTGCCACACAAAATACCCTTCGGTGCTGTGATGGAACTGGGGGTAAGTGGGTGTTACAAAGAGGGATGAAAACGTGGGGTCAGTTCTTTATACTGTGTGCCAAACCTGCAGAAACAGGGCAACGTATGGGGATTTCTGTGCAGATGGCTTTGCTGCCGAGGAAGATGTGTAAGTAACGGGGCTGCTCAGGTTTTAACCTTCACCTAATGTAAACCAGTCGTGGTCCCGGGTGTTTCCTTTTTGTAAATGCCCTTTCCTGGTGTTTTGGCTGCCTTTTAGGATTTCTCCTCATACCAAAACCTCTTTTCCCTTGATTCGCAGGCTCACCTTTACACAAGCAGGGTACCACCTCCACCACCAACGCTGAGAAGTCGGGTTCAAAGGTTGCCGAGGTGGGCGATGATTTCCTGGGAGACTTTGTGGTGGGCGAACGTGTCTGGGTAAATGGAGTGAAGCCAGGTGTGATCCAGTATCTTGGGGAGACTCAATTTGCTCCGGGCCAGTGGGCAGGGGTTGTTCTGGATGATCCGGTGGGTAAGAATGACGGCTCTGTCGGTGGAGTACGTTACTTTGAATGTCAGCCGCTCCAGGGGATTTTTACCAAGCTGGCGGGGCAGCCAGTGGCCGAGGGCTCGGGGACTGACGCCCCCTCTGTGGACTCCCTGACGGCTCAGAACTTGTCACTGCACTCGGGGACGGCCACGCCACCTCTCTCCACTCGTGTCATTCCCCTGCGGGAGAGCGTCCTGAACAGCGCCATGAAGACGGGCAACGAGTCTGGATCTAACCTCTCGGACAGTGGGTCTGTGAAAAAAGGGGAGAAGGACTTACGGCTCGGAGATCGCGTGCTGGTGAGTTGATCGTGGGGTTCCCCTGGAAGGGCAAAGGACAAGAATTTGTCCCCTCCCTAAGTGCTCCTGGTCAAGGTCAGGACAAGACAAGGAGGACAGAGTTGGTGGTGAGGTGTGGGACAGAGCGTGGCTTTGGAAGGGGGATGCCTGGACCAAACGGGCTTTGAACTTCTGTTATTTGGGGATGCTGGGTCTTCTGGACGTGTCTGTCGTTTTCACATTGATGCAAGACAACATATTCCAGAGGGTTTCTTGTATTGGACAAGTCCTGAGCAGTAGGATGAGGTCAGAGAGAGAGCAACTCAAACATGAGACCAAAATAGAAGAAAAATAATTGGTTGTTAACTTCTAAGCCAGTGATACCCTCTATGATGATGTTTATCAGGGATTTCAAGGAATTTGCAACAGAGTGTCTTGTTGCATGTGGTTGTACGTACTCTACAAGTATTTGCAAGAATCTCTTCTAGCTGGTCACTCCCCTTGTGGTGCTTCAGTTTTTATATGCTGGATGTGACACTAACTCCTTTCCTGTACAGGTGGGAACTTGCAATTACTTTTATGAAAGGGCAGGACTTTGTGAGAGATCACTGTATGCACGGATGGGTTCTCCACATCTGATTTCTGTTAGCATTATTTAGAACAGAGTACCTGAGGACTTTAAGCCAAAATTCCGTGCTGATGCTAAAACTGGCTTACTAGAAGTTTGTCATCAAGCTTGTCACCATTTGTGTCCTAGAAAAGGAGTAGTGCTTTCAGTGGACGCTTAGAAGGAGGAGAAATATATCAAAACATGGAAAAACTGAGCTTAGTTTTGCAGTTCTGCAAAAGAGAGTTTACTTTTGCTGAGTGTGTATGATGCATACTGTGATGTCAAATATTGGAAGAGCCAAGTGTTTGTGTGCAGATCTTTTGCGACTGTATCCCCAGTAATATCCCTGGATCTGAAAGATCAAGGTGACGCTGACCGACAGTGGTGGCGGGTTGCAGAGGGTTAGGTTAGTCTTTGCGCATCCTGGGCAGTCTGGCTCCCATTTAGAGTTAGCTACGTAGCGTTTCCTCTCTGGGGCATCTGGTTCCAATAGCAATAGTGGTAGTAGGGAAGTGTAGACAGACTTACCATCTGGTTAATAATGGGGGGTTTGGTAGAACTTGGCTCCACAACCTATGTGAATCAGGAGGAGCGGGTGCCTGGGGGTGTCAGAGGCAGTCTCAGATGTGCCCTGTGGTTTCAGAGAATGGGTTTTTCTGCTGGTGATAGCAGCAACCCTGGGCAGGCTGCTGCTCAAGCTGCTGGAGTTGATCCCTTTGCTCTCTGCAGCCCTGGGTGGCTGGGGAGCACCGAGCGGCTGTGACGGCCCACATGTGTCTGCTGAGTCAAAACTTCACGTGGCACGACCTGCTCTGAGGATGTCAGGATCTAGTGTGTCCAAATGTCAGGGCGTCTGTGGCATGGCAAGTACACTTTTGAAGCCAGCAATGCACCTGCACACCAAAACACTCTAGAGTTGCCCAATAGTTTTCGTTTTATTTAAATAAGATTTAAAACAATTTAAAAGTTTGTTCATTTTCAGGGGAGGAAAAGCAAAGATGGTTCTGCTTGTGTCCACTGACAGTGAGTAAACCTAATGTGAACGCGGGGATTTGTAGACCTGTCTGTAGAGGTGAGAGAAAGGTTTACATTCTCAAATTTTCCCCCAAATGTGCATTGCATTCTGTATCACAGCAGGAGCTGACAGCTGCTCAGGGATTTGTTGCACGTCTGTCTGCTTCTGGACTTCACCAGAGCCTGCCTCTCTTCCTTCCCTATCCCGACTGCCAGCAAATCTGCTCCCAGGGGCAGGGGTGGGCAGGGAAAGCAGCAGACATTCCCTGTTTACACATGCACTGATGTTTCATGTTGGTGTTAAAGCTGCCACATGTGGGGAAAAGTGAACCTGGGGAATCTGTCCTCCTCTGGCCAGTTTATTTGTTTGCTGCTGTTTTATCCTTGACCTGTTGCAGGGAGAGGGGACAGTGCTCAGGTGAGACTTCCCATTTTTAGGAGCAGCAGTCAGAAAGTAAACTGCAGAACATAATATCTGCAGTAAACTTGGCTCTGTTCTTTCTGAACCAGCCAGGCAATGGAATAGCCTTCTCCAGACTCTAGTTGTTTAACCCCCTCTCTTCTCCTGGCAGAAAGCTCACTGTGGCACAGGCTGTCCACTTAATACTCCGCTTACCTCGGTGGGACCCACACAGATTGAGATTTCAGCGTACCCATGCGATACAAACTGTTAGCCTCTCTCCCCTTGGCTTCTGCTGAGTTGTTTTTTGGGGTTTTAATTGTTTTTTCATTTGTTTTTAATACGTGTGCATCCTTAAAAGCCCTCCTTCCCTGCCTGCTGATTTGTCCACCCTGGATGTTTTAAGATAAAATTTGTGCTGTGATCTGTTACTGTAATAAATGGCTCCAGAAGAGCAAATCTGGAATGAGCTCAGCATCTCGCTGGCTCTAGCAGGAAAGCTCAGCTTACAGAAACATGGGGATTGTTTGCATGCAGTGGTAGAGGTCCAGGAAAAGAACAGATAATGATAACAAGAAGAAATAATTTGTTGTTGTGGTTCAGTAACAACATGTGCTTGGCTAGGCAGAAAAAAGCCATTAGTAATGGAGATGTCTGCTGATCGTGTTTGGTGTTTGAAGACATAAACAATAATTCTGGGTTAACCTGAGTTGCCTCAAATTCCCTGAATAAATCTTTGCTCTTGTTCTCTGTGGATTGCTGTAGTTTTAGTTGTCTTTTATTACTCTTAGTCCATGCTTTTCTAAAAGATTATCTTTTTATTTGAGAATGGCTTTTAGGCAGATGGGATCCACTGAAGGCTTTCCAAGTGAGGGAGGACACTCACTGTCTGTAATTGCTCAGTGGATGGAGCACAAGGTTGCAGGGGTCCCTGCCAGGCCTGTAAAACCAATACCTGGCTGCTCTGCTTTCTGGTCGTTCCCTGCTAGGGGTTTTCTTTAGCTTCATTAAAGTCCATTATAGCTTGAAGACATTTTTGCTTTTCCATGACTTTGTTCCAAGACCCTTTCTGACTCTGTAGCAGTTGTGAAAAGTGACTTTTAGCTTTACATTAGAGGCTTTCCATTATAAGAATTAGATAATATTTGCTTTTGGCACTTTCTAGCTCAGACTTTTTCCTAGAGATGCAAAAATTGCATTAGAGAGATGAAAAACCTACGCTAATATTGTAGAACTCATCTCTTGCCGTCTGGCAAATGAATGTGGAACAATTAACCCTTGGTTCAGTAAGAGTGGAGCTTCCCGAAGTACGATAATGGCTGGAGTGCTGCTGTTAATGTGAGGCTGGCTGGGTGCCTTTCTCCAGGGAAGGGAGGGCTGGAAACAGAGTGGTGGAGCAGTTGAGCATTTTGTGTTTGGGAGAAAATGTATTTTACATGCTTTGGGGGGAGGCTTTCTCAGCAGCTGAACTCATTCCACCCTCGGTGGGGTTGGTTTCTTAAGAAGGGTGGTAAGGAGGTGGCTGTTCTCCATATGTCAGTCTAAATAAAAAGGAATAATAATTTTTTTAAAATCCTCTTCACAGAGGTACTCTGCCCTTCAGGCATCCTTGTGTCTCCTAGCTGGGATTGCACTCTCCAGTACTGAAATGCAGTAATAAACAAGACTATTTAAGGGCTGGGTTGTATCCCAGTGGTGGATTGACTCTATCACTGTGGGGTGTTGCCCTGGATGCTCTTCAGATATATTCCAGGTTTGTGATTTTGATAGAATTTGTAGGTGGCCAAAACCAGAAGAGATGCAGGAATAGTAGAAGCAGCACGAGCAGGGAGATTCTGATGGAGCAGCTCCTCGGCTGGCGGACGGGCAGGACTGCCGTGGCAGGCTGGCTGGGCTGGTGGAAATACATCCTGCGTTCCCCCGGAGTGTGTGATTTTAATCATCTTCTTTGCTGTATGCTGCAGAGTTTTTTTGCCTGTGGTGTATTGCAACATCTGGCTCCTGGCGAATGATAGAAAATTCTCATGAATAAGCTAATCACGTCCTTTTATTTAGCATCCCCCCTGCATGCCCCTGCCCCAGCCCTGCTCTGCTGGCCTGAAGCTGCAGAAAGCCTCTAACCACCTGAGTGAAAAATCATTTCCATTAGAAGCTCCCTGGTGAGGAGAATGGCAGCCTAAACCCTTCTCCTTGGGCAGAGACAGCCGCTTGCTCTGCTGCCAGCTTATTTTGAGCTGTTTCAGTGCCTGAGATGGAACCCTTACGAAGGCACACGAGGTGTTAGGAATGAAAGATTCGAACAAAGGAGGGCCACGGAGATGGTCCGAGGCTGGAGCAGCTCCCGTGCGAGGACAGGCTGAGAGAGTTGGGGGTGTGCAGCCTGGAGAAGAGAAGGCTCCGGGGAGACCTTCCAGCACCTTCCAGTGCTGAAAGGGGGCTACAGGAGAGCTGGGGGGGCTCTGGGTCAGGGGGTGCAGGGACAGGACGAGGGGGAATGGTTTTAAGCTGGAAGAGGGGAGATTTAGGTTACGTATTAGGAGGAAGTTTTTTCCTGTGCAGGGGGTGAGGCCCAGGTTGCCCAGGGAAGCTGTGGATGCCCCATCCCTGGAGGGGTTCAAGGCCAGGCTGGATGAGGCTTTGGGCAACCTGGGCTGGTGGGAGGTGTCCCTGCCCATGGCAGGAGGTGGGACTGGATGGGCTTTAAGGTCCCTTCCAACCCAAACCATTCTGTGATTCATGCTCTTTCTTTTCCTGGTTAAGTGTCGGAGCTCTCCCAGCTTGCTGGGGTCTGAGAGATGCAGCAATGGACTTAGTATGAACAATCACAAGCCATATTCCCTGATCACAAACCAGACAGTAAAGAAAGAAGGATCCTTTTCTGTAGTTGTCCCAAGGTAGTATTTTCAGGGAAGTGTTTTTAGTATTTCATTGCCTGCTTTCAGCTCGGTCTATGAGGAGACCAGCAATTGCTGTTTCTCTGCTGGAGAACACAGCTGT